CCCAACTTTCAGGCCCACCCAAGCTGTTGCCAGTTGCTTGACCATAGGATTGGCCTGTCTTGGATCCTGCTTCAGGTTTTCCTAAATTCTTTCAAACAAGCAGCATCTCGCTTCAGCTAGCCCTCTGCCTCCCATTAAGTAATACACAGAAACAAACACAGGGAGGCTGCCATAATGAGGAGACAAAGAAACAGGTCCCAAATGAAAGAACAGAACAAATCTCCAGGAAAAGAACTAAGCGAAATGGAGATAAGCAACCTAACAGATGCTGAGTTCAAAATACTGCTTATAAGGATGCTCAATGAACTTAGTGAGGGCCTCAAGAGCATAAAAAAGGACCAATCAGAAATGAAGGAAGCACAGTCAGAAATGAAGGAGGCACTAACTGAAATAAAGAATAATTTACACAGATTCAATAGTAGAGAAGGTAAAGCCAAGAAGCAAACCATCGATTTGGAATATAAGGAAGCAAAAAATACCCAATCAGAACAGCAAAGAGAGAAAAGAATCCAAAAATATGAGGATAGTGTAAGGAGTCTCTGGGACAACTCCAAGAGTGCTAACATTCACATCTTGGGGGTGCCAGAAGGGGAAGACAGAATAAGAAATTGAAAACCTTTTGAAACAATAATGGCAGAAAACGTTTCTAACTTGGTGAAGGAAACAGACATACAAGTCCAGGAAGCACAGAGAGTCCCAAACAAGATGAACCCCAAGAGGCCCACACCAAGACACATCATCATCAAAATGCAAAAGGTTCAAGACAAAGAGAGAATCTTAAAAGCAGCAAGAGAAAAGCAGATAATTACCTACAAGGGAGTTCCCATAAGGCTGTCAGCTGATTTCTCAAAAGAAACTTTGCTGGCCAGAAGGGAGTGGCAAGAAATATTCAGAATGATGAAAAGCAAGAACCTACAACTAAGATTACTCTATCTTGCAAAGCTGTCATTTAGAATCGATGGCCATATAAAGACTTTCCCAGACAAGAAAAAGCTAAAGGAGTTAATCACCACCAAACCGTTATTATAAGAAATGTTGAAGGGTTTTTTTTAAGAAAAAGATAAAATATATGAACAAACAAAATGACAATGAATACATATCTGTCGACAATTGAATCTACAAACAAATTGAACAGGCAGAACAGAAACAATCTCATACAGAGAACATTTTGTTGGTTGCCAGATGGAAGGGGGGTTGGGGGAAATGGGTGAAAAAGGTGAAGGGATTAAGAAGAACAAATTGGTTGCTAGACTGACAAACCTCAAAGAGAAGGGGTTGGGGGGTGGGAGGAAATAAACCAAAGAACTTATATGCATAACCAATGGACACAGACAACAGTGGGAAAAGGCAGGAGGGGGGCGGGAGTGGGGAGGAGGGGGGTCAATGGGGGAAAATGAGGAACATCTGTAATACATTCAACAATAAAGATAAAAAAATAAATTAATTAAAAAAAAGAAAGAAACCTTTTTGTTTGTTTGGTTTGGTTTGGTTTTTTATTGATTGATTGATTTGAGAGAGAGAGAGAGAGAAACATGGGGATCAAATCCATTACCGTGGTATACCAGGACGACGCTCTAACCAACTGAGCTACCCGGCCGGGACCAGCAGACGCCTTTGACCTTCATCTGCTAGATCAGCTCTTTCTGGTTCTCTAGCCTGCCTGCCTTTGGACTTGTCAGCTGCAACTCTTTCCTGAGTCCCCAGCCTGCCCACCACCCCTATCAGATCTTAGACTCAGCAAGTTTCCACAATCATGTGAGCCAATTCCTTGAAGTCTCTTTTTATATATATACATATATGTATGTATATATACTTCCTGTTGATTCTGTTTCTATAGAGACCTTGACTAATGCCTCATATGACCTGGCAATTCCATTCCTGGGTATATACCCAAAAGAATGAAAAACAGCTGTTTGAAAAAAGGTTCATAACAGCATTACTTATAATAGCCAAATGTGGAAACAACACAAACGACCATCAGTGAATGAATGGATAAACAAAAGTTGATACATAAAATGGAATATTGTTATTCAGTCATAAAAAGTAATGGAGTTCTGCCCTGGCCGGTTTGGCTCAGCGGTTAGAGCGTCAGCCTATGGTCCAGAGAGACCTGCGTTCGGTTCCCACTAAGGGCACGTACCTCGGTTGCAGTTTGTCCCAGGCCCCGGTTGGGGTTGTGTGGGTGGCAACCACTCGATGTGTCTCTCTCATGTCCATGTTTCTCTCTGTCTTCCTCCTTCTCTCCCTCCTGCTTTATCTGAAGATAAATATAAAAAACAAAAATGTCCTCGGGTGAGGATTAAAAAAAAAAAAAGGAATGGAGTTCTGATCCATGCTTCAACATGGATAAAACTAGAAAACATTAGCTGAGGGACAGGAGCCAGACAAAAGGCTACAATATTGTAGGATCCCATTTATATGAAATATGGAGAATAGGCAAATCCATCGAGGCAGAAAGCAGATTAGTGGTTGCCAGGGGCTGGAGGGAGGAGGGGGCTGCTTGATATGTTGAAAGTTTCTTTTTGGTGGTGATGAAAAAGTTCTGGAGCTAGACTGTGGTGATGGTTCACATTGTGAATGCAGCAAATGTCATTAAATAAGAGTATTAAAAAAAAATTTTTTTTTCTTTATTGATTTTAGAGAGAGGGAGTGAGAGACAGAAACATTGATGAGAGAGAACATCGATTGGCCGCCTCCTGCATGACCCCCACTGGGGGTTTGGCCCACAACCTGGACATGTGCCCTGAGCGGGAATCGAACCGAAGACCTCTTGGTGCAGGGTTGATGCTCAACCAATGAGTCACATCAGCCGGGCTTTTTTTTTTTTTTTTTTTTTTTTAGCAAGAGAAAATAACCAAATTTCATATATACATATGTATGGGAACCCCACATACATGACAGAGTCATGGACCCCACATGCATGAGAAGTTCCATTAAAATGGTAAATCTTATGTTTTGTGCATTTTACAAGAAAGCAAATGAAGGGAAGCATTATAGCAGGAGTGTGGGCTGTGGGGGGTGGTGACGGGAGGGGCCTGTAAGCATGATAGCAGTTCATCCGTGTGCCTTGATATCCCTGGGGGATTGGTTCCAGGACACCCTGCAGATACCAAAGTCCAGAATGCTCAAGTCCCTTATATAAAAGGGTAGAGGAACGTTATATTGGGACTGTGTGCCATTGAGGTCACATCAGAAGGTACAAAAGACCCAAAGGTTTGTGGGCAGTGCTCTACTGGAAGTCACTAGAAAAGACACCTTAGGAGTTAGGATGGCAGGACTTCAGAAACAGGTGGATTTTAATTCACGGTATAAAACATCAGTATCATGGTAATTGGTCAAGTTTAGTTCAGTTCATCACATGAGGTATTTCAGCATAACCCACAACCTTCGGACCAACTCCTCATGTAAGGTATTTGAAATAAATTATTGATCAGCCTGGCCGGTGTGGCTCAGTGGTTGAGCATCGACCCATATGCACCAAGAGGTTTCTGGTTCTATTCCCAGTCAGGACACATGCCCAGGTTGTGGGCCTGATCCCCAGTGGGGGGCATGCAGGAGGCGGCCAATTCATGTTCTCTCTCATCTATGTTTTTTTTTTTAATTTTTATTTTTTTATCCTCACCCGAGGACATTTTTGCATTTATTTTCAGAGCAGGCGGGAGAGAGGGAGGGAGCGAGAAACATTGCTGTGAGAGAGACACATCGACTGGCTGCCACCCACATGACTCCCAGCCGGGGCCAGGGACAAACTGCAACCGAGGTACGTGCCCTTAGCAGGAACCGAACCCGGGACTCTCTGGTCTTTAGGCCAACACCCTAACCACTGAGCCAAACCGGCCGGGGCTCTCATCGATGTTCCTCTATCTCTATCTCTCTCCCTCTCCCTCTAAAATCAATAAAAAATAAATAAAAATAAAAAATAAATTCTTGATCATTTTGCTGAGAAAATAATGTGAATACTAGTCTACACTTCTTTGCAGTTTTTACTTTCTTGAAGAAATGATAAGCTAGGCACAGGGTTGGTGTCTAGGTTTTAAGCACTTTTAGAACAATGAGAAGTGTTTTCTTGCTGATGGTTGACTTCCTAGTTTGTTAAGACCTCTGAGAATTTGATTTCTGAGCTGATTCAAGCATTGTTCCCCCACCATTTTTTTTTTTTTTTTTTTTTTTGGTTAATCCTTACCCTAGGATATTATTTCCATTGATTCTCAGAGAGGGTGGAGAAAGGGAGGGAGGAAGGGAGGGGAAGAATGAGAGAAACATCCATGTGACAGAAACACATGGATTGGCTGCTTCCCACATGCACCCCAATGGGGCCAGGGATTGAACCTGCAACCCTGGTATGTGCCCTTGACTGGGAATTGAACCTGTGACCCTTTGGTTTAAGGGCAGACACTCTAACCACTGGGAAACACTGCCCCAGGCCCCCACCCATAAACAATTTATTTTTTTTATTTATTGATTCTAGAGAGAGCAATAGAGGGAGAGAAACATTTTTTTGTTTTTCCACTCATTGGTTGGTTCTTGTATGTGTCCTGACCAGGGATCATACCCACAACCTTGGCGTATCTGAAGGACACTCTAACCAACTGAGCTACCCCCCCCCCCCGCCCCCTTGCATTAATGGAATCATTTGGTAGGTGGAATCTAAGTGTGCATTTTGCTTTGCTTGTGCTGTGCCCATTCAATGTTTGATGCATAATTGGACATTGAATCAATAAATGTACAAAGAGCTTTTGATCTGTAATGCCTTTATACAAAGTTTTATTTCAGTAATAAAACATTGTTCTAAAACAAAAATACTATTCTAAAAGAAAAAGTAGAAATGCAGGGGCACTTTAACGGGACACTTGGGGGAGGGGTTCCAAGGAGGAAATACAGAAGAGAAGCGTCTGGAGACAGCCCACTGCTGCAGGAGCTGGTGAAGGCCTGGGGGGTAAATGAGGTAAGAAGGGGACCCACAGAAACCGCAAGTTTTGAACTCCAATAATGTTGGGTCTACTCTCAACTTGGTCATGAAGTTGCGAGCTGCCTGATTCTCTCAAAATGTAAAAAACAGGGAGCAACAGAGAAAGAGACCCAAAAAAAAAAACAAGACAAAAGTTTCGAGGAAGGCAGAGACAAACACTCTTGAGAGTCTGGGCCCAGGGCCTGGGGTGTGCCCAGCAGCTGGGGGCGGGGTTGCATATTCCCGAGTCGGGGAGCAGTCTCCGGACAGGATATGAGAGAGGAACTGGGGTCTCCAGTCACGGGAGTCAGCTGGGGCTGCAGGCGGGAAGGGATCGTGGCTGCTGTGGCTGACGTGAGCAGAGCTGGGGCCCAGAACAAGGGAGGACTGGCGGGATCGGGGCTTCTGGGGCCGAGGGTGGAGGAGGCTGGGGCCTGGACTCCTGGGTCCCAGGGAGAAGAGCTGGGGGCCCTGACTCCTGGGTCCGAGGGAGAAGAGCTGGGGGCCCGAATCCCTGAGTCCGAGGGAGGAGGGGCTGGGGGCCCGGATTCCTGGGTCCGAGGAAGAAGAGGCTGGGGGCCTGGATTCCTGGGTCCGAGGGAGGAGGGGCTGGGGGCCTGGACTCCTGGGTCCGAGGGAGAAGAGGCTGGGGGCCCGGATTCCTGGGTCCGAGGGAGGAGGAGCTGGGGGCCTGGACTCCTGGGTCCGAGGAAGAAGAGGTTGGGGCCCGGATTCCTGGGTCCGCGGGAGGAGGGGCTGGGGGTAGGACTCCCAGGCTTGAGGGCGTAGGAGGCGGGGCTGAGCTCTGGGAATGAAATCTCAGCCCCTTCACGCTCTGTAATTAATTAACCCACATGGATCAAGGGAAGGGGTGAAAGTTCACTGAGGCGTCGGGCATTGTCCCCGTCCTGGACGGAGCCCTGAGCCCGCAGCGGTAGACGTAGACGACGGCGGCCGAGCCCCGGGGAGCTGGGGGAGGAGGGGGCGCGGCGGGGGTCCCGAGGAGTCACGCGCCCCCTCCCGCCCCAGGTCTCCCTCTCAGGATGCGGGTCCCCCGGCCTCAGCCCTGGGGGCTCTGCTTCCTGCTCTTCCTCCTGCCCGGGACCCTGCGCGCAGGTGAGGGGCGCTCGGCCGCCGCGGGGCTGTCGGGGCGGAGGGCGGTGCCGCCGGCCGGGAAGGCAGCGGACGAGCAACATCTCCAGGTTCCCTGGAGCCAGGCATTTCGTCCTTCGCCGCATTTCACTTGATTTATCAATTTTTTTGAAATCACTTTCTTCTCCTTGGCTCGGTGTGCGTGGGAACCACCTGGCCCCCTGTCTCCGGGGCCCTGTCTCCCTCTCCCAGGGTCTGTCCCCTCTGAGTTGAGTCCTTCCTCTCTCGGGGCGTCGGTCCTGCTCCCCGTCTCCGGCCGCCCGTCCCCATGGCCCCTTCGCCTGTGTCTCCGCAGAGAGCTATCGCTCCCTGCTGTACCACTTGACCGCGGTGTCCTCCCCCGCCCCGGGGACTCCTGCCTTCTGGGTATCGGGCTGGCTGGGTCCACAGCAGTACCTGAGCTACAATGACCTGCGGGCCGAGGCCGAGCCCTGCGGCGCCTGGGTCTGGGAAAACCAGGTGTCCTGGTATTGGGAGAAGGAGACCACAGACCTGAAGAACAAGCAGAAGCTCTTCCTCGAGGCTCTCACCGTCTTGGCGAAAGGAGGTGAGGGGCTGGGGTCCAGGATCTGAGGGAGGAGGGGAAGGGGGACCCCGAATCCTGGATCTGAGGGACAAGGGGCTCCTGGGCCCTGCTCACCTGGGTGTGGGTACCCCAGATTCCTACACCCTGCAGGGCCTGCTGGGCTGTGAGCTGGGCCCTGACAACGTGTCGGTGCCGGTGGCCACATTTGCCCTGAATGGCGAGGAGTTCATGAAGTTCGATCCCAAGGAGGGCACCTGGGATGGAGACTGGCCCGAGGCCAAGAGCATCAGCGACAAGTGGATGCAGCAGGCGGAAGCTGTGAACAAGGAGAAGACCTTCCTGCTGTACTCCTGCCCCCATCGGCTGCTGGGCCACCTGGAGAGGGGCCGTGGAAACCTGGAGTGGAAGGGTGAGCGGCCTCCAGAGGAACCTGAGCCTGGGATCTCTCACCCGTGGCCCCACCTCAGGCCTGTCCTCTTCCCACGGCCTCCAGCCCCGACTCTCCCCCCTACAGCCCACCCCTCACTCATCCCAGAGAGTCTTTCTGCCCCCTGCCCCTCTCCTGCACACAGCCCTCTTGTGGCTCCCAGAGCCCTCAGGACAGAGCTCAGGTCCCTCAGCCTGGCACGGGGGCCCCACGTGGTGTGGCCTCCATCCCTCTCCCAAGCCTCACATTTCTCCATCTGCCCCCCTCTGCCAAATGGAATCACCTGGAACTCCTTGAGCTCACACCAACCCTCCCATTTCTTCACCTCTGCCATTCTCCTTCCAGTTCCACCGGTGTCACACCCAGGGACATTCCTCTGGCCCCGGAGGCTTTCATTTGCCTCTTTGGGGCTCCCACGATGTCTGTGTGACCTCCATGGCAGCACATGTCACTCTGAGTTGTAATGAGGTACACATCTGGGGAGTAATCAAGGGCTAGAAGCAGAGCTCTTTGGTCCCTAGCGTCCTCCCACCTCAGAACCCCAGCTTCCCTCTCGGCCCTCCATACAGACCATCCTGGCAGGCAGAGGGATGTTTTAAAATGTGAATGGGCCCTGGCCGGTTTGGCTCAGCTGTTAGACCTGTTAGACCTTCTGCCTGCAGACCAATGAGTCGTGGGTTCAATTCCAGTCAAGGGCACCTACTTCGGTTGTGCTTCGTCCCCGGCCCCCTGGTCCGGGTCCTGTGGGAGGCAACCAGTCGATGTGTCCCTCTCACATCGATGTTTCTCTCTCTCTCCCTCCCTCCTACTCTATCTGAAGATAAATAGAAAAATATCCTCAGGTGAGAATTAAAAAAAAAATATATATATATATATATTCCAGGTGGTGCGGCTTAGTGGTTGAGCATCAACCCACGCACCAAGAGGTCACCGGTTTGATTCCCGGTCGGGGCACATGCCCAGGTTGTGAGCCCGATCCCCAGTGGGGGGCATGCAGGGGGCGACCAATTGATATTCTCTCTCATTGATGTTTCTCTCTCTCTTTCTTCCTCTCTCTCTAAAAGCAATACAGAAAAAAATTTTTTTTTAAATATATATATTAGACTAAAATCCAAACTCTACACTGTGGTCCACAAGTCCCACAGGGTCTGGCTGTTTTCCATCATTGTAACTTCACAGCATCCATACTCCAGTGGCCTTCTTCCTGTCCAACATGTCCGATTCTTTCCTTCCTCAGGACCTTTGCACCTGCTGTTCCCTCTGTTTGTGATTCTCTTCCTGGAGATCCTGCCATGACTGGGTCGTTCTCACACTTTAGGTTTGATCTTGGATGTTAGCTCTTCAGTAAGGCCCTCCCTGAGCATCCTGGCTAAAGTGTGCCCCCTCCCACCACCATTATGGTCTCTCATGCCCCTGTTTTGTTCATTCAATCATCACAGTATCTTTATTTAAAAAAATTTTTTTATCCTCACCTGAGGACATTTTTCCACTTTTTGTTCAGACGGAGCGGGAGGAGAGAGAGGAAGAGAGAGAGAGAGAGAAACATTGATGTGAAAGGGACACATCGAGTAGCTGCCACCCACACGACCAACCAGGGCTGAGGACAAACTGCAACTGAGGTACATGCCCTTAGCGGGAACCGAGCCCTGGTCTCTCTGGACCACAAGCCAACGCTCTAACCGCTGAGCCAAACCGGCGAGGGCTATTTTTAAATTTTTTATTGACATGTAACTTAACTACCTAAAGTACATAACTCGATGAATTTGACTTCTTATTCTACTTATTTATGCATTCATTGGTTGATTCTTTTAAAAAACAAACAAACATGTTGTTTTTTTCTTTATTAATTTTAGAGAGAGATAGAAATATTGATGAGAGAGAACATCGATTAGCTGCCTTCTGCATGCCCTCCACTGGGGATTGGGCCCACAACTTGGGCATGTGCCCTGACTGGGAATCAAACCGGTGACCTCTTGGTGCATGGGTTAATGTTCAACCACTGAGCCACACCTGCTGGGCCATTGGTTGATTCTTGTATGTATCTTGACTGGGAATCAAACCCGCACCCTTGGCATATCAGGATGATGCTCCAACCAGCTGAGCTACCTGGCCGGGGCTTCAATTCATTTTTATATGTGCCCATGTACCTGCCCTCCAGATCAAGATCTAGAACATTTCCAACACCCAAGGAGACTTCCTGTGTCCCCTCCAATTCTGTACCTGTCAAAGGTAACAACTAACCTGACTTCTGTCACCATAGTATTGCCTGATTTTGAACTTCATACAACTGAGTATGTGCTTGTTTGTGTCTGGCTCCTTTCACGCACGCTTATGTCGTGAGACTCTATTGTTGAGTGTTATCAGTAGTTCATTTTTTTAAATTGCTGAGTACTATTCCATTGCATGGTTCATATCACAGTTTATCAACAAATGGTGTATTTCCAGGTTGGGGCTATTATGAGGAAAGCTACTATGAGCATTCTTGTACATGTCTTTCGATGAATCTGTGTTTTCATTTATGTTGACTTAATACCCATGAATGGAATGGTTAAATCAGCCTATAGGATTAGCTTTAGTAGGGAGACCTATACATTCTTTCAAAGTGGTTGAACCAGTTTTATACTCCCAGCAGCTATGCATGTCCATTCCAGTTTTTGATCGTCTTTTATTTTAACAATTCTTGTGGGTGTGTAGTAGTATCTTATTGTGAATTCATTTTTCATTAATCAGATAAACAATTTTTTAAAATAATTTTTCTTTTAAAAAAAAGTTTTGTTTTTAATTGATTTTAGAAAGAGAGGGGGAGGGAGAGAGAGAGAGAAACAGTTATCTGCTGCCTCCTGAACACCCCCTACTGGGGATCAAGCCTGAAACCTGGGCATGTTCACCTAGAATTGAACCAGCGACTTCTTGGTGCATGGGCCAATGCTCAACCGACTGAGTCACACCAGCCAGGGTGAAATACTATTGAATTTTATATATTTCCCTTCTATCCAGAAATTTTGCTGAATTACTTATTTTTATTAAATTTGTATAGCTTTTGGATCCTGTTATTTTTGGCATGCTTTATTTTCTTTTGCAATTTTAATACCTTTTATTTCTTTTTCTTATCTTTTTTTTTTTATCCTTACCCGAGGATATTTTTCCATTTTTTTACAGATAGAGTGGGAGGGAGAGAGAGGAAGGGAGAGAGAGAGAGAAACATTGACGTGAAGGGACACATCGAGTGGCTGCCACTCGCATGACCAACCAGGGCCGGGGACAAACTGCAACCGAAGTACGTGCCCCTAGCGGGAACCGAACCCGGGTCTCTCCAGACCGCAGGCCGACGCTCTAACCGCTGAGCCAAACTGGCCAGGGCGTCTTTTTCTTATCTTATTGCACTGGCTAGGATCCCCAGTAAAATGTTGAATAGCGTGGTGATAATGAACATCTTCTTGTATTCTCAAATTCACAGAGAATGTATCAGCATTTTACCAAGTATTATGTTAGTTACAGGTTTTTCTGTTGATGCCCATTGTCAAATTAAGGAAGTCCCCTTCAACTCCTAGTTTGCTGAGAGTTTTCTTTCTTTTTTGAATAGTGCTGAATTTTATCAAATGAACTTTTGCTTTGTCCCTTTTATTCTGTCTTTTTTTTTTTCTCCTCACCCGAAGACATTTTTCCATTTTTTGTTCAGATAGAGTGGGAGGGAGAGAGAGGGACAGAGAGAGAGAAACATCGACGTGAAAGGTACACATCGAGTGGCTGCCACCCGCATGACCAACCAGGGCCGGGGACAAACTGCAACTGAGGTACATGCCCTTAGCGGGAACCGAACCCGGGTCTCTCCGGACCACAGGCCAATGCTCCAACCGCTGAGCCAAACCAGCCCAGGCGTAAATGGCAACCTTTTGGTGCACAGGACACCACTCAACCAACTGTGCGACTCTGGCCAGGCTGGATTAAAATTTTAAAATATTTATACTACTACTCAAGTTTTTAATTTCTTCTTGTGTCAGTTTTGGAAGGTTGTATTTCTTAGGGATCTGTCCAGTACATTCAGATTTCAATCTATCGATTGCCTCCCATACGCACCCTGACTGGGAGGGAATCAACCTGCAACCTGGGTATGTGCCCTCACCGGGAATCAAACCCGACCCTTCCGTGCACAGGACACACTAACTGAGTCACTCCAGCCAGGGCACCTTTGTCTATCTTGTTCACTGCCGTGCCCCCAGTGCCTGAAAGAGTTCCTGGTATGATAGATTCTCAGTGGATGTCAGTTGTAGGAAGGAATGGATGAGAGCTGGGTACCTGATGGTGACTAGGCTGGGTCTCTATCCCCCTGGGAAGGTCCCTCTCCTTTACCATTATATTCTCCTGGCTAGCACAGTGCAGGGCACATGGTGAGTCCTGCTCAGTAGAGTGAAAGGATTGGAGGCCTCTCTGTTCTCATCCAGCCCTGCACGGGGCCTGACCCTCGGGTCCGTGGGCTCAGCCTATTTGCCTGTTTGTCTGCAGAACCCCCCTCCATGCGCCTGAAGGCCCGGCCAGGCAGCCCCGGCTTTTCTGTGCTCACCTGCAGCGCCTTCTCCTTCTACCCGCCGGAGCTTCAGCTGCGATTCCTACGGAATGGGCTAGCGGTTGGCTCAGGGGACAGCGACGTTGGCCCCAATGGCGACGGCTCCTTCCACGCCTGGTCAACGCTAACAGTTAAAAGTGGAGATGAGCACCACTACCGCTGTGTGGTGCAGCACGCGGGGCTGCCGCAGCCCCTCATTGTGGAACTGGGTGAGGTCCCTCTGGGTGACGGTACTCCCCGTTTCTGGTCTCTCTGTAGCAGTCCTTTCTGAGTCTGACCACCTTCCACTCCACTGCTACCAGTCCTTGAGTCCGCCTGCCTCGTGCCCCACTCCTGCCGGTTCTTCCAGGACAGTCTTCTGTCCTGTGCTGCTCACCCTCCCTTGGCCTTCCATGCTGCTGCGGGCCTCATTGAGTCCGGCCCCTGTTAACCACTGTGTACACTCCTTCCTAAGTCTGACCCCCTTCTATCCTGCTGCTGCTAGTCTTCATGGAGTCTGATCATTGTTATCTGCAGCTGCCAGTTCTCACCATAACTGACCATTTACTGCTGGGTCTGACCTACTGCTCTGTGACCCACCCCTTCTGAGTTCTAATATCACCCCCCTGCTGCTGCAGGGCCCTTGGCAAGGGTGACTGAGACCTCTTGCTATGGCGGGTTCTTACATCTAACCTGGGGGTGTTCTGCCCAGACCCAGAACAGCAGCAAACTGGCCTTTTGTCTGCCCACACCCACTCCCCAAAACTTGGTGTTGGCATCTCTGAGACTCCCAGCCTCCGGTCCGGGTTCGGGTGGGGCAGCGGGTCCACTCCGCATCTGACAGCACTTCTCTGGCAGAATCATCAGCCAAGTCCGTGATGCCAGTGGTTGGAATCGTCATCGGCCTCTTACTGATCACGGCAGTGGCTGTAGGAGGAGCTCTGCTGTGGAGGAGGATGAGGAACGGGCTACCAGGTGTGGGGCGGGGAGAGGAAGAGGTCAGAGAGAGGGGCACTGACCCCAAAAGAGGGGGGCAGAGATCTAGACAGAGGGTGACAGAGAGAGGTGGGGACAGAGAACTGGAGGGGGGAAACAGAGACTCAGAGGGGGACAGAAACCCATAGAGTAGCACAGAAATCGAGACAGGCACACACACACACACACACACACACACACACACACACGGGTGAGGGGCAGAGACCCAGAGGATCTCAGAGATTCTGATGACCTCCCCCTTTCTCTTTCCTCAGCCCCTTGGATCTCTCTCCGTGGGGACGACGGAGGGACCCTCCTGCCCACTCCTGGCCTGCCCAAGGATGTTGATTCTTAGGACATATAAGCATTGTTAGCAACTGTCTGATCGTCCCCCATCCTGACTGTTACCAGCTAATGCAGTCAGGTCCCTTTCATGCTGTGAGACGTCCTGGAATCCTGATATTTCTGAGCCTCCGGAAGGGGTCCTGGGCCGGGTGTCCTCCCTCTGGATTTGTCCTCCTGTGATCTGCCTCAGTTTCCCCTCCTAATATATATGGCTCTTTTCCACCTCCACATATAACATGAGTTTGGGCCCGAATCACTGTGTTATCATTTCAGCTTTGTCAGTGGAGGAGGTAAGGGAATGGGTAGGGGGAATAAATGGGATAAGCCCTGGGCTTTAAATCTCTCCTGGGGCTAACATGTTGCCATGGTCGATCTGCCAATTTTACATACCAAGTCATACATTTTTCATTCATAGAGTTTACAGATGTTTACTGTGCCAGGCATTTTGAGGACTTTAAAAAAAGAAATCATTGTTGATTTGAGAGAGAAACAGTGATTTGCTGTTCCACTTATTTATGCTTTTTTTTTTTAATCCTCACCCAAGGACACTTTTCCATTTATCTTCAGACAGAGAAAGAGGGAGGGAGAGAGGGAGACAGAGAGAAACATCCACCTGAGAGGGACACATCGACTGGCTGCCTCCCATGCAACCCCCAACCAGGGCCGGGTACCTGTCCTTGACTGGAATCGAATCTGCCACTCATTGGTCCACAGACAGATGCTCTAACCACTGAGCAAAACTGGCCAGGGCTACTTATTTATGCTTTTTTTTTTATCCTCACCTGAGGACATTTTTTGATATTTTGTTCAGATAGAGTGGGAGGGGGAGAGAGAGAGAGAAACATTGATGTGAAAGGGACACATCGAGTGGTTGCCATCCACATGACCCAACCAGGGCCGGGGACAAACTGTAACTGAGGTACATGCCCTTAGCGGGAACCGAACCCAAGTCTCTCCAGATCGCAGGCCAACGCTCTCACTGCTGAGCCAAACCGGCCAGGGCTTATTTATACTTTTTTAAAAAAATTTTTTTCACCCTGGCCGGTTTGGCTCAGTGGTTGGAGCGTCGGCCTGTGGACCAGAGAATCCCAGGTTCGGTTCCCACTAGGGGCACGTACCAAAAATAAAAATAAAAAAATTTTTTTTCTTTATTGATTTTTAGAGGGAGAGAGAGAGAGAAACATTGATGAGAAAGAACCTCGATTGGCCGTCTCCCGCATGCCCCCCAACTGGGGATGGGGCCCACAACCTGGGCATGTGCCCTGACTGGAAATCGAACCCGCAACCTTTTGGTGCATGGGGATGCTCCACCACTGAGCCACACTAGCCAGGCTATGCTTTTATTGGTTGCTTCTTGTATGTGCCCTAACTGGGAATCGAACCCACAACCTTGGTGTATGGGACAATGCTCTAACCAACTGAGCTACTGGGCCTGAGCATTTTGAGGAATCCTTGGCTAGAGTCTGACCTGATTCATTGGTGGAGCGGAAAAGTTATTCCCTCTAACAGGGAAGGAGATGGCTCCTCTGGTCCCTGAGTTCCCTTCTTTCTAAATCCTGCTGACAAAGGGAAAGAGATAAAAATAAATCTCCCGCCCAGGCTTTAGAGATGGGACAACTGGAGGTTGCAGGTTGGCGGTGCAGCGCCGCGAAGCCTGCCGGGAGTTGTAGTTCTTCCCGGCCAAGTCACTCGGTGTCTCCCACCCAGCGTGGCCAAGGAAGGGGCGAGGCCAAACCTCGAGAGCCAAGCTTTTCTTTGTGGACGTGGCGAGGGGCGTCCGGCGCGGCCCGACTCTCTTCGGCTCCGCCCAGTGGGGGCCCTGAGCGCATTGGCCGGGGGGCGGGGCCTCTGCGCTGCAGGAGGCGGAGCCTGGCTGGAGAGCAGCCAAGTTGGGCATCTTTCTGGAGAAAGCGGAGCCGAGCATGGAGAACTCAGTGAGGCGGGATAACCTGGTAAACGGGGACGAGAGCGGGTGGCCGGCCCAGGGAGGACGGTTCAGGCCCACTTGGGTCGAGGATTAGAGTCCAGGCTAGAAACGACGCCCTGGAGCTTGCATGATTTCTCTCTCTTTAGCCACGACCCTGCCTCACACTTTGCGTGGGAAGTGCGCCACGTCTCCCGCTTGAATCCCCCCACTTGCAGCTCTGGGACTCCCTCAAAAGATTCAGTCCCCAAATCTGGTTTGACCTCTGAGAATTTAGCCCTTCTTTCCCTCCCCCTCTTCGTGAACCCAAAACTTTGCAGCCAGCTACCATCTCTCTGTCTCGTTCTAGGTCTCCCCTCCCCCTATCCTCCTGTCTGGTCTCTGTCGTTTTCCTGTGACCCCTGACTCCTAGCCTCCGCCACTCCTCAGGGACTGACGATGTGGCGACCATCACTTCTGCTGCTGCTCTTGCTGCTCAGGCACGGGGCCCAGGGGAAGCCCTCCCCCGAGGCCGGCCCTCATGGCCAGGGAAGGGTGCACCACCAGGCTCCCCTGAGCGAGGCTGCTCATGATGACGCCCATGGGAACTTCCAGTACGACCATGAGGCTTTCCTGGGACGAGAGGTGGCCAAAGAATTCGACCAGCTCAGCCCAGAGGAAAGCCAAGCCCGTCTGGGGTAGGAGAGAAATGGGGGCTGGAAGATTCAGGGGTGCAATTTAAAACAGGGAGGTCAGGGGAGGCCTCAGTGAGAAAGTGATATTTGGGCCAAGTGGGAATGTGTGGGAATAGTATTCCAGGCAGAGGGAAATGTAAGTGCAAAGGCCCTGAGGTATGAGTAGATGTAGGCCTGATGTGTTTGAGGACCAGTGAGGCCTGAGTGGCTGGAACCCAGTGAGTGAGCAAAGGGAGAGGGTGGTGGTGGTAGAGAGGGAACAAAGTATGTGCAGAGCCTTTGGGGCCATAGTAAAGGTTTAACCTTTTCTGTGAGTGAGATGAGAACCATGGGAGGGCTTTAGAGAGAAAATGTGAGTTGATTTAGATATTTAAAAAAATTTTTTTTTCTTTATTGATTTTAGAAAGAAAGAAAGGGAGAAGGAGAGAGAAATAGAAACATTGATGAGAGAGAACATCGATTGGCTGTCTCCTGCATGCTCACTGGGGATTTGGCCCACAACCTGTGCATGTGCTCTGACCGGGAATCGAACTGGTGATCTCTGGGTGCATGGGTCGATGCTCAACCACTGAGCCACACTGGCCGGGCATTGGCTTAGATACATGCCCCTAGCGGGAACTGAACCCAGGACTCTCTGGTCCGCAGGCTGATACTCCAACGGCTGAGCCAAACTGGCCAGGGCTAGACTTATATTTTAATGGAATCCCTCAGGTTGCCACTTGGGGAACAGGCTGTATAGAGCAAGAAGCAGGGAGCCCAGTGAGGAAACAGTAGTAGTCCAGGTGGCAGACGAGAGTGGTGCCTTGACCAGGGTGGAGAGAGCCTTGGCGGCCATGTCTCTGGCTGGGAGACTATGTATGGAAGGGGTTGTGTGAAGGAAGGATGAGGGAGGAACAGCAATGAGAAGCTAACACTCTTGGCATAGCACTTACTGCAGTGCCTGGCACCAAGTGCTTTACAAGGGATAACTAATGTATTTCCCACAACCATGTTCTAGTATTTATCCCCATTTACAGAAGGGGAAACTGAGGCACAGAGAGGTTAAGTGACCTGCCCACATTCACACAACCAGTAAGTGGAGGCTGCAGAATTTGAACCTAGAACATCTGGCTGTGGAGCCCATGCTCTTAACAGCTCAAACCTCAGGGTAGGGTGCTTGTGAGTCCTGGGGACAGAGCCTGTCCCCCACCGATCCCAGCAGGGATTGCCTGGCTTGGAAGGGGGCAGCAGGGCCCACTCAGATTTTAGGGACAGTGATAGATAAGGTTCATTGAGCACTCTATTAGTGATTGAGCACAAGCAGGTGCAGGGGGCAAGGGAGTGGGAAGGGGCCTGGGAGTCTACCTGAGACCTGAGAGAAGGGGTGTGAGGTGGGACCTGCTGGGATTTTACAGGTGTGGAGGGGTGGGGGCGGTCACAGGACCTGCGGAGCACGGGGAGAGGAGTGGGGGAAGCCCAGCCCTTGGGGTTGCTGGTGATGGCCCTAGGTCAATACCTGATAACGGCTGGAAAAAGGTAGGGGACGCAGCATGGGGCAGGACTGGAGGGAGAGGGGCCTGAAATTGACCGGCACGTCCAGGAAGGACGCAGAGCAAGAGGTGGGTTTGAAGGGAGGGTCCTAGAACTGGCAGGGAAGAGGGGCAGACAGCAGGCGGCGAGAGGTGTGTGGCCTTGGCAATTGCAGTTCCGAGGCTGTCTTGGGCCGAGGACCCTGCGGGCCCGGGAGGCCGTGTGACTCCGCTTTACCCCCCCAACTTCAACTCAGACACGTGGGACGCGGAGCACTTGCAGGGTCGAGGGGCGGGGCCAGAACGGAGGGTGTGACCCTGGATGGTTTTCGGTTTGTCGGACACCGGCAGGTCAAGGACCGCAGCACCAGCCGCCAGCTGTAGGCCAGCTGGGTCTCGGGTCTCGGAATGGGCTGGATCGCCTCTGGGAGCAGAACCTGGGTTGAGGGGGTGGAGCCCTGTGGTGGGCACGGTCTCAGGATTGCCTTGTGCGCGGCGGGGGGCGGAGGGGTCCCCCCGCCAGTTTGCGGGCGCTCTTGGACAGCATCCTTAGCCCTGTAGTGGGTGTGTCTCAAGTGGGGGCGTGGCTCTTTGTGAGGGGCGGAGCCTGGTGGGTGTAGAACCTTTGGGTGGGCGGGGCCCGAGACTGACTGACATGTGCCCTGCCCCGGCCCCAGGCGCATCGTGGACCGCATGGACCGCGCCGGGGACGGGGACGGCTGGGTGTCGCTGGCTGAGCTCCGCTCGTGGATCGCACACACGCAGCAACGGCACATACGAGACTCGGTGAGCGCGGCCTGGAACACGTACGACACCGACCGCGATGGGCGTGTAGGTTGGGAGGAGCTGCGCAACGCCACCTATGGCTACTATGCACCTGGTATGCAGAGAGACCCCGACCTCTGCCCCTCACACACACCACACACTGGGACCCTGACCTTTTGACCCTTTATTCTGAAAACCTTTGACCTCTGATCTTTGACTAGGGTCCACCCACTTCTAAGACCCTATCATCCTGAAACCACCCATCTGGAATTTTTGGCTTCTCATTCGGACATCCAAAACCTCTACAATGCTGGGACTGGGGGTCTTCAGATCCTTGACCAGGGTCATCTACGTTCCATGGCCCTGACCTCTGACTTCTCATCCCGAGACTCCCAAAGCCATTTACTCTGACCGCTGACTCCCTGGGTTCCCTCCTCCCTGTCCCCACCCCCAGCCCTGGGCTCCCATAGCTCTTGTTCCCTCCCTTCTGTACCCTCACCCCAGCCTGTCCCTCATATATCCCCAGAGGGGTCTTTCCACACCCAGAGCTTCCCTGACCTTCCGCTGCTCAAAGCCCTCAGGAGAGAACCCAGCTCCTCAGCCCCACCTGGCCCACCCCTCTATCTTCATTTTTCTGCATTTTCTGCCCCTGTCAAATGGATCTTCTGCTATTTCCCTGAACTCACCACACTGCACATACTGTTCCCTCTGTCAAAATGTCCTTCCCCTCCTCTCTGCCCAGCAGCCTGAGGCAGTATAACCTGCTACATCAGAGCATGACTTGGGACCCCAGGGGCCAGTGTTAACTCAAAGCCCATCATTCCTGGTTGTGTGACCTTGAGCGAGTTATTTCCTCTCTGGGAGTCAGTTTCTCCTTCATAAAGTGAGAATAAACAGAGAAACATCTGTAACAAAAATTAATTAGCCCTGGCCAGTTTGGCTCAGCGGTTAGAGCGTTGGCTTGCGGTCCGGAGAGACTCGGGTTCGGTTCCCGCTAAGGGCACGTACCTCGGTTGCCGTTTGTCCCCGGCCCTGGTTGGTCGTGCGGGTGGCAGCCACTCGATGTGTCCCTTTCACATCGTTGTTTCTCTCTCTCTCTCTCTCTTCCTCTCTCTCCCTCCCACTCTATCTGTACAAAAAATGGAAAAATGTCCTCGGGTGAGGATAAAAAAAAAATTAATTAATAAAAATAAAAAATAAAAAAAATAAAGTTACTAATAACTGTATTAATTTAAAAAAATAAAATAAAGTGAGAATAAACAAAAGAACTCTACTTGCTTTTTGTGAGGGTTAAATGCTACTTTGTAGGTAAAGAGCTTAGCATCTAATAAGCTCTTACTACAGGGTAGCAAATATATGCAAGTGATGAATATTTATTATGTATGATTAATTCAGTGGAGGTCTTCCTGCTCTGACCCCCCCTCCCCCAGGTAGATCCCTTTGTCTTTCTCTTTAGCCTGACTGATGTCACCTCCGTGAAAGCACAGCTCACTGAGCTCCCTCTTTTCCTAGGAGAAGAATTTCACGATGTGGAAGATGCAGAGACCTACAAGAAGATGCTGACTCGGGACGAGCGGCGTTTCCGGGTGGCTGACCAGGATGGGGACCTGATGGCTACTCGGGAAGAGCTGACAGCCTTCCTGCACCCGGAGGAATTCCCTCACATGAGGGATATCGTGGTTGCTGTGAGTGAGGGCCAGCCTTCCAGCGCGTTCCTTGGGAGTTCCAGTCACTGGGTCCGCTGGCACATTCCCCAGCAAACCCAGGCTACAAATGCTAATCAGTGGAGGGTGACACCTCCCATCCCACCCAGACCCCCCAGTGTCACCATTAGTGCCTAACTCTTCACAGATTACTTTAAAAATGTAATTATATGTATTTCTCAAATAGGTAACATATTGATATGGTTAAGCGCCCAAAAGATGCAAAAAAGGTGAACAGTCTTATTTTTTCCCGTGTCCCTACCCTGTCACCTGTCCCGTTCCCACAGGTAACCCCTTTCTTGTGTCTCCATCTCCAAAGCTGCTTTGAGGCACTATGGCAAAGCTGTTAGGATCAAGGGCTCTGAGGCCAGAAGACCTGGGTTCAAATCCCAGCCCTGCTGCTTCCTGGCTGTGTGTCCTTGGGCAAAAATTCTCTGGGCCTGAATTTTCTTTTTTTTTATCCTCACCCGAGGACACTTTTTCATTCTTTGTTCAGATAGAGTAGGAGGGAGAGAGAGAGAGAGAGAGAAACATCGATGTGAAAGGGACACATCGAGTGGCTGCCACCCGCACGACCAACCAGGGCCGGGGACAAACTGCAACCGAGGTACATGCCCTTAGCGGGAACCGAACCCGGGTCTCTCCGGACTGCAGGCCGACGCTTTAACCGCTGAGCCAAACCGGCCAGGGCTGGACCTGAATTTTCTTATCTGTAAAGCGATGGTACTGATAAAGATCCCTATCTGGAGGGTGGTTCGGGAGACTAGATGAGTCCATACACAACACTGTAAAACTGGCCTGGGGTAGATGCTCATTACATCATTTACACACACCACACGTGTCAATACAGCTACAGGGTAGGAATCACTGGATCAGCAGGGATCAGAGAAGAGAGATGTCCTTAACCCAGGCCTCTTCAACCCCTTACACTCTCCATCCTGCAAGGCCCAATGTCCCTGTTTTAGAGCAGATAATGCTGTCACACCTCTTTATTCTCCTGAGTTAAGATTATTTAACAGCCCTGGCCAGTTTGGCTCAGCGGTTAGAGCATCGGCCTGCGGTTCAGAGAGACCCGGGTTCGATTCCCGCTAAGGGCACGTACCTCGATTGCAGTTTGTCCCCAGCCCTGGTTGGTTGTGTGGGTGGCAGCCACTCGATGTGTCCCTTTCACGTCGATATTTCTCTCTCTCTCTCCCTCCCACTCTATCTGAACAAAAAATGGAAAAATATCCTCGGGTGAGGATTAAAAAAAAAAAGATTATGTAACAAACCCTGATTATGTCCTGTGTGCCAGGCACCCTTCCAACACCTTTACCTGCATTGCCTCAATTTCATTGTCTGTGGCAACCCTATGTCGGTGGCTTGTCATCTTCATTTTACAGATAAGGATACCTAGGCACAAAGAGGTGACTTTCCCAGGATCACCCACATGAGAAGTGGCAAAGCCTGATTTGAACCTAGACAGCTGAATCCATGGTTTCCATCAGGGGTTGGCAAACTAGAACCTGTGGCCAAATCCGCCCACAGAATGTTTTTTGCAAATAGGATTTTATCGTAACACAGTCACACCCATTTGCTAACATGCTGCAGCTGCAAAGCTGGGTCAGTTCCACAGAGGCGGTCCAGCAGGCAGAGCCGAAAATAGCTACTCCAGCGGCGAGCCTAGCTCTTCACGGAGGAAGTTCTCCGAGCCCTGGGCTAAAGTCTGCCGGCCTCGCTGGCGTTCGCGGATAGTGAGCATGACCTCCCATGCACAGATTTCAAAACATGGCCTGTTTGGCTCAGCGGTAGCGCGTCGGCCGGCGGTCCAGAGAGACCCGGGTTCGGTTCCCGCTGAGGGCACTACCTTGGTTGCAGTTTGTCCCCGGCCCTGGTTGGGTCGTGTGGGTGGCAGCCACTCAATGTGTCTCTTTCACGTCGATGTTTCTCTCTCTCTCTCTCTCTCTCTCTCTCTCTCCCTCCCCCTTCCCACTCTATCTGAACAAAAAATGGAAAAATGTCCTCTGGTGAGGATAAAAAAAAAAAAGACTATTAGCCCAAATGGTACTATAAAGGAGAAACTAAAGGAAACTCATGTGTAATAAATAACAGGAATTTCAATATGTAAGTGTCGTAGAGTTATCAGACTTAGCAAATAACAGGACTCAATTACACTTGAATTTATAACAACAAATAAAGTAAACAATAAATCATTTTTTTAGTGTAAGTATATCACACACAGTATTTAGGATTAGTATAAATGTGTCCCACACAATATTTGGGACAGACTTTTATTAAAAGTCATACAACTTATTAAAAATTATTTATCTGAAACTGAAGTAACGCAATATCCTGTATTCTAAGTATGTTCCAAATATTGTGTGGGACAGACTTATACTAAAGAATTATTTGTTGTTCACCCTGTGTTTAACCTGGGGCCCGACTCTGCTGGGAGACATAGTGCAGTGTCAGGTCCCTGTGTCGCCTCACAGGGAGTAAGCTTGAAAACAAGTGAGGAACGGAAACTGTTTGCTCAAGAAGTGAAGAAAAAAAAAAAACTTAGAGCAGAGATTTTGAAAGTGTGTCAACTGGTCCACCAACTGAGTTGGTGTCTAGGCTCCGCCTTTTAAAGGGAAAGAGGCTTCTGCCCTTGGAGACTGTGGGCTGGGGCATGAGAAAGTTGTTAGAGACGCAAGACGGCTCTTCTTGTGTGAACCAACCTTTGCATCAGGACATCTGGGTTCCCTGGCCCCACTCACTGAGTGCAGGTAGGGCATGCCTTATTATAGGCACCCCAGAAAGCCCCCAAATTTCCCACACGCCCTTGGGGACAGTTACGCCCCGTTGAGACTGCTTCAGCGCCTGGCCCCACACCCACCCCTGGGAGAACCTCACATCCTGATCCCAGGGGTCCAGCGCCCCTCAGGAGCCAGCCCCAATGTCTCTTTCTCCCCAGGAAACCCTGGAGGACCTGGACAAGAACAAAGATGGCTACATCCAAGTGGACGAATATATTGGTGAGTGGACCTGAATCTCTTCCTGAGGACACCTGTCCCTTCCCAAGCCCTGGTGGCAGCCCAATGCATGATCACCCATAAGAGAGCCAAGGCAGGGGCACTGCTTGAGTTCATGCATCCACCGCCACCGAACATTCATTGAGCACCTACTATGTGCCGCCTCCCACCCCCAGCAAATCTTTTTTTTTTTTAATCCTCACCCGAGGATATTTTTCCATTTTTGTTCAGCTAGAGTGGGGGCGGGGTAGAGGGGGAGAGAGAGAAACATTGATGTGAGAGGGACACATCCACTGGTTGCCTCCCATACGACCCCAACCAGGGCCTGGGAGGAACCGCAACTGAGATGTGTGTCCTTGACCAGGATCAAACCTGTGACTCACTGGTCCGCGGGCCAGCGCTCTAACTCTAATGGCTGAGCCAAACCTGTCAGGGCTCCAGCAAATCTTTATCAAACACCTACTACGGGCCAGGCCCAGGAAACATTTATCGAACACCTTTTGTATGCCAGACCAAAAAACATTATCAAGCACCTGCTGCGTGCCATGACCAAGAAACAGTTATTGAGCATGTTAGTAGCTCAGGATACAACAGAGACTGTCACAGACCAGGTCCCTTCCTGGGAGGGTCTGGAGTTTGTACAAAATCTGGGCTCTGGGCTGCGTTTGCTTGACAGGAAGCCAGGGAGCTCGACCTGGACCCACATTCAAACAGCAAAATGTAAATGTCTCCTGTTATTTGGGATGTTGGGGAGCCCTGTGACACCACCAGATATCCCATAGCCCTGCCTCTGTCCTTGCCCTCAAGGAGCAAAGAGATCAGTTAAGGAGAAATCGATTGAGTATGGAATTGTTAAAAGTTTGAACACGTTATCCTGTAGAATGTTTTTATGGAACAAACCCACAGGCAGGACATTTTTATTTAAGCGTAATTTTTCAAAATTTTTATTTATTGATTTGAGAGAGAGAGAGAGAGAGAGAAACATCAATTTTTTTCTTTTGCAAGAAAGAACTCAAGCCCTGGCCAGTTTGACTCAGCAGTTAGAGCGTCGGCCTGCGATTCAGAGAGACCCGGGTTCGGTTCCTGCTAAGGGCACGTACCTCGGTTGCAGTTTGTCCCCGGCCCTGATTGGGTCATGCGGGCAGCAGCCACTCGATGCACTCGATGTATCCCTTTCTTTTTTTTTTTTGGTATGTGCCCGTAGCGGGAACCGAACCTGGGACTCTCTGGTCTGCAGGCCGACACTCCAGCCACTGAGCCAAACGGGCCAGGGCGTCGATGTGTCTCTTTCACGTCAATGTTTCTCTCTCTCTCTCCCTCCCACTCTATCTGAACAAAAAATGGAAAAATGTTCTTAGGTGAGGATAAAAAAAAAGCAGCAAGAGAAAAGCAATTCTTTACCTACAACAGAGCTCCCATAAGATTGTCAGCCAATTTTTCAAAAAACAAAATTTGCAGGCCAGAGGGAGTGGCAAGAAATATTTAAAAAGTGATGGAAAAAAAAAAAAAGGAAGAAAGACCTCAAGCATCACAGTTGAATCATAACAGTAGCTGACACAGTCTGTGGTATCTGTGGTTAACGTCTTGTAAATTTATTTAATCCCCACATCAACCCTGTGAGCTGAGTATTTATTTATTTATTTTATCCTCACCTGAGAGAAACATTAACGTGAGAGAGACACATCGAGTGGTCACCACCCACACGACCCCGAGGCTGGGGACAAACTGCAACCGAGGCACGTGCCCTTAGCGGGAACCGAACCTGGGCTTCTCTAGTCCACGGGCTGACGCTCTAACTGCTGAGCCAAACCGGCCAGGGCTGAGCTGGGTATTATTACCCCACTTTATAGACAGGGGAGCTGAGGACCAGAGGGAAAAACACCTGACTAAAGTCACCTGCTAGGCAGACGAAACAGGACTTGAGTTCAGGCAAGTGGACCCCAGAGTTCCGCCCTGACACCTACGCTACAGGGTCCCTGTGGGGCTCTGGGGACAGAGACATGGGCAGAACCCCAAGATCCCCCAAAGAACTGTAATTTCGTGCTGTTGAATGGTGCGAGGAAGGGCACGAACAAGGAGTACTGGGGGCATTGCAGGCCCTGACCCAGGATGGGTTGGGGTGTCAGGGGAGATGGGGGAAGTGGGGATGCCCTGTATTTAAGGGTACAGGCTCCAAAGCCAGCCTGCCTGGTCACCTGCCACCTCCCGGCCATGTGACTGTAAACAAGTCCCTCACCCTCTCTGAGCCTCAGTTTCCTCATCTGTAAATGGGAGTAATAGAGCACCCTCCACATACGACCACACATAGTCAACACAAATGCCCGTCACTGGATGAATGGATAAACAAAAGGGGTAGATCCAGGCAATAGAATATTTTTGGCCATAAAAAGGAATGAAGCGCCCTGGCCAGTTTGGCTCAGCGGTTGAGCGTCAGCCTGTGGACCAGAGAGTCCCAGGTTCGGTTCCCGCTAGAGGCATGTACCACAAAAAAAAAAGGGAACGAAGTACTGCCCTGGCCTGTGTGCTCAGTGGTTAGAGCTGCGGCCCAAACACCAAAGGGTCTCGGGTTCGATTCCCAGTCAAGGGCATATACCTGGGCTGCAGGTTTGATCTTCAGCCCCAGTCCAGGTGAGTGTGGGAAGCAACCAATCGATGTGTCCTCTCACATCGATGTTTCTCTCTCTCTCCCTCCGTCCTTTCCACTCTATCTAAATATCAGTGGAAAAATATCCTCAATGAAGATTAACAACAACAACAAAAATAAAGAAAAAAATGATGACTTAGGACCATTAACAAAAAAAAAAAAAAAAGAAGAAGTAGAAGAAGCTCTTTGCTCAGAAAAAAAAAAAAAAAAAAACAACAAGGAAGAAGCTCCGTGCTCGCTTCCTCTGAAGGCTGACTGTCCAGTGCCTGCTCTGTCCTCGGTGACATGCTCAGAGTTCCCTGGCCTAGTCCCCAGGGGAGGGAGACATTCTGTGCTACTTGCCAGGACTTTATCTGGTGTGATTATCAGGGTGTAAAGTCTGGGAAATCCTTGTGTGGAGTGTTTTCTCCAAGGCAGCCCCTGGGGCCAGGAATTTTGCAAACATCTCCAAATAATTGAAACAAAGGATCTATTATTATGCTAAAAATGTAACAATACATTCATTGATATCTTTTTGTTTTAAAGAGAAACAAAAAGCCCTCAGGTGTGGCTCAGTGGTTGAACATGACCCATGCACCAAGAGGTCGCCGGTTTGATTCCCGGTCAGGGCACATGTCCAGGTTGTGCGCCTGATCCCCAGTGAGGGAACATGCAGGAGGCAGCCAATCGATGTTCTCTCTCATCGATGTTTCTATCTCTCCTTCTCCCTTCCTCTCTCTCTAAAAATCATAAAGAAAAAAATAAAGGAGAAAGAAAGAAAAAGACAAGAGAAGCCCCAACAATTTCCATAGAGGGTCCTAGAGTGAGGTGTCATCTGGCAAGAAATTTGTTCACTGGCCCTTCCTTCATATGAAGCACCTACTGTGTGCCAGGCTCTGAGCCACACAATGCACGCGGCAGTATTTCATTTGGATGTCAATCAAATTGATGGATCGTTCAGTCGATCAATAAGCTGATCCATCAAGTCAATTCACATGTAGCAGAAGGGTCACCTGTAAATCGGGTGTTGTTACTCATCCCTTTTAAACAAGAAACAGGCTAAAGAGAGAGGCGGTGGCTGGGCTCTTGGTCAGGATCGGAGCCGGGCTCCGCCGGCCTGGGCACCGGCCCGAGTCTGTCTCTCGCCCCCAGCGGACCTGTACTCTGCGGAGCCCGGGGAGGAGGAGCCCGCCTGGGTGCAGACGGAGCGGGAGCAGTTCCGGGACTTCCGGGATCTGAACAAGGACGGGCGGCTGGACGGCAGTGAGGTCGGCCACTGGGTGCTGCCCCCGGCCCAGGACCAGCCACTGGTGGAGGCCAACCACTTGCTGCACGAGAGCGACACGGACAAGGTGCTGATGCGGCCGCGCGGGCGCTGGGGGAGGATGCGGCCTCCTGTGCCCAGTGACCACGAGCTGGGCCCGGAGCTGCTGGGGTCCCTGTTTGTCTGGAGAAAGGGACAGAGACTGAGAGAGGGACCAAGGGATGGGAGGAACAGAATCTTTTTTTTTTTTATCCTCACCCGAGGATATTTTTCCATTTTTTGTACAGATAGAGTGGGAGGGAGAGAGAGGAAGGAGAGAGAGGGAAACATCGACGTGAAGGGACACATCGAGTGGCTGCCACCCGCACGACCAACCAGGGCCGGGGACAAACCACAACCGAGGTACGTGCCTTTAGTGGGAACCGAACCCGGATCTCTTAGGACCGCAGGCCAACACTCTAACCGCTGAGCCAAACTGGCCAGGGCGGAACAGAATCTTGAGAAAGGGACAGAGCCCTGGCCGGTTAGGCTCAGTGGTTAGAGCGTCGGCCCGCGGTCTAGAGAGATCCGGGTTCGGTTCCCGCTAAGGGCACGTACTTCGGTTGCAATTTGTCCCCGGCCCTGGTTGGTCATGTGGGTGGCAGCCACTCGATGTGTTCCTTTCACGTCGATGTTTCTCTCTCTCTCCCTCCCACTCTACCTGAACAAAAAATGTCCTCGGGTGAGGATAAAAAATAACAACAGAAGGGAACAGAGACCCAGAGAAAGGGAGATAGAGACCCAGAGAGAGAGGGACAGAGACCCAGAGAGAAGGGGACAGGGACCTGGAGTGCCATACTTAGGTTCAGAGGTGGGTCTCACATACTGGGGACAGTGTTCCTGCTGACCTCTGACCTTCCATCCAGGACGGGCGTCTGAGTAAGGCCGAGATCTTGGGCAACTGGAACATGTTCGTGGGCAGCCAGGCCACCAACTATGGAGAGGACCTGACGCGTCACCACGATGAGCTCTGAGCCTCGTGTGCCCACCACAGCCTCGTGGTCCCCTGGGGTGACCTGAGGAGGGGTGCCAATGGCCAGGTCCCTCCTCCATGTCCAGCCCTGCAAGACTCGGACACAGCTCGTGGTGTCCCCCTGTTCCTGGGCTCTCACGGACCCACCTGGTCAAGTTCTCTCCCTGAGACACCTCGGCCGCTCTCAGGCCTCTCCACCCCACCCCGGGGGCTCTCACAGACCTGAAGGGTGGGGGACCAGCCACTGGCAGAATCTCCCAGCCCAGCCCACGGCCCCCCACACCAAGCTCAGCCTCCAAGAGCCTCTGCTGACAACACAGCTCCAAATCTGAGCCTCACTTCACAGACAGGAAACACTGCCCCCTGGCTGCAGCCCTGCGTTTGCCCAGAGGCACCGCCCCAGACACCTCCTCTCTGCCAGGGAGGCAATAAAATCCAGTGCTGCGGCCTCAACCGTGTCTCTCTCTGAGTGGTGGGAGCCTTGGGGAGGAATGGGGGGCTACGACCTACCGGGAGAGGAACATGCTAGGAGTTGGGGGGGATTGTGCGCTGAAGGACAGGGCATTTGAAGAGGAGGCTCTGGGTGTTGGCAGGGTTCGAGGGCGTTCCTTCCTGGGGACGAAAAATGAAACTAGCAGCCTGGACCTAGCAGTGAACAAGCCAGACAAACAGCTCTGCCTTCTGTAGAGCGAGTGATGGCGATGCCTTGTTCATCAGGTGGCCGGGAAAGGCCTCACTAGTAAGCGGAGTGAGGGAGGCGCCCTGGCTGGAGGGCCATCCAGGCAGAGGGAACAGCACGTGCAAAGGCTCTGAGGTAGGAGTGGGCCTGGTGTGTGGAGATCAGCAAGGAGGCCAGTGTGGCTGGAGTGGAATGAGGGTGAGAGGTGAGGGCAGGTGGGACATGATAGAGGCACAGACCCAGAAACACTGGGACGGAATTGACTCTCAGGGAGCCAGGGCCCCTTGGAGAATCCTGAGCGGAGGATGGATGTGAACCGACTTGGGTGACAACAGTTCCTTTGCTGCTGAGTTGAGGCAGGGGCAAAAGGATGAGGACAGAACAGACATTTATTCCCCCTGCAGCCCCATGAGACCCCCTAGGTCAGTTCTCTAGAGCTGAACATGCCTTTGTCTGTCCCAGCAATTCCACTCCTGGTAGCTCCTGAATGGAAATAAAGTCACCAAAGTAAGGTTTGGGGAACTTGAATCCTAACAGTCTCAAACTGGAAGAAGAGTTCAGCGCATGGTGGGGCCTTTGCCCAGGGGAAGCCACAGCAACGAACAGGAGTGATCTCCAGGCCCCCAGTAGCTCAGACGGATGTCACAAATGTTACGCTGAGCAAAAGGAGCTGGACACAGGGTCACACCCCACGTGATTCCATCTGCAGTGGTTCTCAACCTTCCTGATGCCGGGACCCTCGAATACAGTTCCTCATGTTGTGCTGACCCCCAACCATACAATTATTTTCGTTGCTACTTCATGACTGTAATTTTGCTACTGTGATGTCTTAGGAGACCCCTGTGAAAGGGTCGTTCGACCCCCAGAGGGGTCGTGACCCACAGGTTGAGAACTGCTGATTTATAGGAAACTCAAGGACAGGCGAAACTAACCTCGTGATCAGAAGTCAGGCTGGTGGGGAGAACTGGAATGGACCTGAGGTGGGTCTTGGGGGCTGAGCTGGAGCTGGGAACTGCTTCCCTGGGGGTGTTCAGCCTGTTACAGTTCATCCAGCTGTCTATGTGTGATGCATCCACTTTTATGCACGATACACTTCAAAAAACATTTTTTCCCCTTTATTGATTTTAGAGAGAGAGGAAGTGAGAGATGGAAACACCAGTGAGAGAGAACATCAATTGGCCGCCTCCTGCATGCCTCCCACTGGGGATTTGGCCCACAACCTGGGCATGTGCCCTGACCGGGAATCAGACCCGCGACCTCTTGGTGCATAGGACGACGCTCAACCGCTGAGCCACACTGCAATTGCTTTTTTGTTTTTAAGTTCACGTTCCAATTTCTTGCTTCTAGAATATAATATACAGTTCTTTTGGTGGGACTCAAACTGTAATCTCTGTCTCTCCTTTGAAATTTTAGTTCAAATTTCAGTTCACTTGTCTTAGGTTTAGCTGGGCTTCTTAAAATGTATCCTATGTGTCTGGTTCAGGGTCAGCTACATATTTGAACAGAATTTACATAAAATATTTGGGGTAAACCCTCTATTTTCTGGATTTATACATCACTTTCCTGTGGCTGTGGTCCTTCAAGCTCGGAAGCCTGTGGATTCTCTCTTGGGTGTTTTAGCTTCCTCTCAATGCACGGACTAGAACCTGCCCCAGGCTAACAGCTGTACAAATGAGAAACTCACCCACGACCTTTCCTTTTTTGTGAGTTTCAGTTCTCTTCCAGTTTCTGTTCACTTTCCTGTGCCTTTAGCTAATTGTTTTCTGTTTTATCCAAAGTTTATAACTGTTATCTATAGGAAGGTTAGAATGTGAATCAAAGTGTGTCTGACTACTAGTTTTTAGTTATGACAAGATACTGCCCCCTAGTGGGTGAGGAGGTGGGTTGGTTTATGAAGTAAGGTAAATCTGTAGATTAAAAAAATTTTTTTTTCTTTTCTTTTTTTTTTAGAGAGAGAGGAAGGGAGAGGGTGAGGGAGAGAGAGTTAGAAACATCGATGAGGGAGAACATCGACTGGCTGCTTCCTGCATGCCCCTCATTGGGGATCGGGCCCACAACCTAGGCATGTGCCCTGACCAGGAATTGAACCGACAACCTCTTGGTGCACAGGTTGACGCTCAACCACTGAGCCACACCGGCCGGGCAAATTTGTAGATTTAAAAAAATATCAAAATAATATTTGCACATAGTAACATTACTTTTACAGAACAATTTATTATAATTATTATTATTATTATTTAAGGCCAGTCAAGTGAAGCAGTGGGCGTGGAGAAGGAACAAAGGAATCTGTAACTGGTTGTGATCAATTAGTTGTAGGCCACCACTGCATTCGGACCAGCCTACAGAACAACTTATGATGGAAAGCTTCCTACCGCCTTGTCACCTGTAGGGGTTCTCCCCAGTTTTGTTTTTTTTTAATCTTTTGCACATTTTGGTTATCTCAAAATTTTGGCACTATATTCACAGGATAACAAAATTCTAAATATACGAGGAGCTACATACTAAAAATGAAGTCTCTTTCCTCCACCAAGTGCACAGGTGGCCAGTGTTTCTTTCCAGAAAGAATTTACACAGATTTAAACAAATACATATCAATTATTTTACTTTTTAAAAAAGAAATGATAGCAGATGACTAACAATATTTTTATCTCACTTTTTTTTTTTTCCTGCAAAAACTTTATTGTTTCCATTTGGTCCAAGGCATGGGAGAGGGCTCCAGGGTGGTTAAGGGAATGGCTAGTGGTTTCAGGGAGGGGCTCAGGCAAAAGCCAGACACCAGGGGGATGCAAAGGGCCCCTCCAAGGCCTCTGGGCTCCAAAGGCTCCTAGTCGTGCTTGAGGGTGAGCCTTTCGAAGAGATACTCGCCCAGCCCAGCCTGGGGCCCAGCCAGCCTGCGGAGGTTAGTCAGGTGGTCGCCCATCTTCTGGATGAGTTTCACCTCCTCCTCCAGGAAGTGCTTCTCCAGGAAGTCACAGAGCCGAGGGTCTGTGCAGGTAGCACCCAGGGCATGCAGATCCAAAAGGACCTGGTTCAAGTTCTTCTCCAGGACCATGGCGTCCTGAGTTCCGCCCCACTCATCTTGAGAAGGCTTCATTCAGCACGTCCTGGAAGAGAACGCGGCCACTGCGCTGGTTTTGCCGCTTTAAGAGATGCCCAGGGCCAACTTGAGAAGAAGTGGCCCACGCGCTCCAGAGCCATGTCATTGGGCGGAAATAGACACCCAGAGAGAGGTAGGTGTAGGAGGCCCGCAGATGCAGGTTGGCCAGGCGGTTAGCAGCAGTCTCCACCTCGGTGGAATAGTTCTGACGAATCTGGAAGCTCACGGTTGTTTGGCAATAAAAGTTAAGGTAAAAAAAAAAAAAATGGTGTTGGCTGGTCTCGGAAGCTAAGGTGGTTCTGAAGGTGGTTCCAAAGGTGGTGACTGGAAGAGGTTGAAGGGTGGTCGGAGGCTGGAAGAAGGGGTGTCCCTGGGTCTGTTCCATCCAAACACTGTTGAACCAAGAGACAGATCTGGGGGACTCCATGGGCACTGACTCTCATTTTTCTTAACAATACTTTTTTGAGTCAGAATCCAATTTTAAATTTACTTACTTTTTTATTGGGGTAACTAAGAATACATTTTGAACCCTGGCCAGTGTGGCTCAGTTGGTTTGGTGGTGTACCCATGCAAAAGGTTGCAGGTTTGATTCCTGGTCAGGACACATACCTGGGTTGCCAGTTCGATCCCGGGTTGGGGCGTGTATGGAAGGCAACTGATCAATGTTTTTCTCTCACATCCATGTTTCTCTCTCTCCCTTTCTCTCTAAGATCTTAAAGATTATACTTTTAAAGAAAAAAAGAAAAAGGAATGTCTTCATTTAGTCTTTTTTCATTCTTTTTTTTAATTGTTTTTTCCTTCATTGATTTTAGTGAGAGGGAGAGATAGAAACATGAATAAGCGAGAACATCGATTGGCCACCTCCTACATGTCCCCCACTGGGGATCGGGCCCACAACCCGGACATGTGTCCCGACCAGGAATCGAACCGGTGACCTCTTGGTGCATGGGTCGACGCTCAACCACTGAGCCACACTGGCTGGACTGTCTTCTTTCTTTTTAACAGCTGAGTAATACTCCCCTAGATAATTTAACTAGTTCTCTACTGATCAGCATTTAGGCTGTTTCTAGTCATTTATAAGTGATGCCACATGGAAGGTGCTGTAGCACCTGTCATGTAACAACTACCACAGTCAAGGTTCTGAACTGTTCCCTCACACACACCCCGCCTAGATTCTCATTCCAACCCCCTTTGTAGTCAACTCTTCCCTCTCCCCAGGCAACCAGGGATTTGCTCCCTGCCCATGTGGTTGTCCTTTTTCCAGAATACATCTCCCCATTTAAACACCTTAACAAGTAACTGTAACTGTCCTGAGGCGCTGCCAGTGGGCCTGGTGAGGCCGGGGCACCAGCAGGCTCATTCGGCCCAGGATCAGCCCCAGCGCGCCTGTTTCTTTCTCTAAACCTCAGACCAGTAATTTGTTTCCAATTCCTGTTTGTTCAGGTCGAGTGGGAGGGAGAGAGAGGAACACAGAGAGAGAGAGAAACATCGACGTGAAAGGGACACATTGAGTGGCTGCCACCCACACGACCAACCAGGGCCGGGGACAAACTGCAACCGAGGTACATGCCCTTAGCGGGAACCGAACCTGGTCTCTCTGGACCGCAGGCCAACGAAACCAGCCAGGGCCTGACCTACTGCTCTTTTTGTTGTTGTTAATCCTCACCCGAGGATATTTTTCCATGGATTTATAGACTGGGAGGGAGAGAGAGAAACATAGATGTGAGAGACACATCCATTGGTTGCCTCCCACACGAACCTGACCAGGGCGCGGATGAACCTGCAACCTAGATATGTGCCCTTGACCAGGAATCAAGCCCAGACCCTTTGGAATGTGGGCTAATGCTCTCACCGCCGAGCCTAACTGGCCAGGGCCCAAGGTGTTTTTTTTAAATCCCCACCTGAGGACATTTTTTTTTTTGCATTTATCTTTAGATAGAGCAGGAGGGAGAGAGGAAGAGAGAAACATCGATGTGAGAGAGAAACATCGACTAGTGCCACCCACACAACCCCAACCGGGGCGGGGACAAACTGCAACCAAGGTACATGCCCTTAGCGGGAACCAAACCCAGGTCTCTCCAGTCTGCGGGCCGGCACTCTAACTGCTGAGCCAAACCAGCCAGGGCCCAAGTTGTCTTCTTAACCTCAGTGGGCTGCTGTTCTGGGAAATGAGTCTAAGCATCCTTGTCCCAGAACTGTGGCAAAGATTACAAGGGAACTATAGATTGACAGGTCCAGATGGTAAGGGCTCCTTGAATGTCAGGGCAACGGGGCCAGTTTCCAGGGACTGGGGCTCCAGCAAACACCCTCCTACCTTTCCCTGTAGTCTGATGCACCAGATGTACCTGGTCTTGCACCACAGTGGGGCTTGACCAATCAGCAGCCAAGGACACTTCCTGGTCCTTCAAATCACATCTGGACATTAGATGAGAAGCCCTTTTACCAAAATGACCAGGTAGATTGTGTTCTGAGACCTCACTTTGAAAGACCAGGAAGGCCAGGATTTAGGGATCACTCAGGGAGACGGGAATGTTAAGTCTTTGTTTTTTAAATTTTTGCTTGACTGTATGTTCCAGTTTTCCACACTGCCCACGGACACTTTTGAGATTCACTGGTTATCACACACAAATCTTTAAGGGCTGCCCCTGCTCTCCTTGTCAAGTTGGAACTCTGGGCAGGTCTACAGGCAGGCCCACCCTCTCCTGCTCACTTGCTCTGCTCCTCAAACCCTCCAAGTACTTGCTGCCTCCGGGCCTTTGCACTTGCGGTTTCCTCTTTCTCCTCTCCCTCCAGCAGTCAGTGTTAGGGGAGGGGGCAGTCCTGGCCCCTTCTCTAGAGGGGCTGCCTGTTGCTTTCTCACACAACTTGATTGCCTGTGGGTATCTTTTTTTTCTTTTTAAACATATTTTTTTCCTTTATTGATTTTAGAGAGGGAAGAAGTGAGAGGGAGAGAGAGACAGAAACATGGATGAGAGAGAACATCCACTGGCCGCCTCCTGCGTGCCCCCCACTGGGGATCGGGCCCACAACCTGCGCACGTGTCCTGAGTGGGAATCGAACCGACGACCTCTTAGTGCATGGGTCCACGCTCAACCACTGAGCCACACCAGCTGGACGCGTTTGGGTGTCTTATCACTCTTGACTCCTGCGCATCTTACAGGCTTCAAATCTCTGAGAACTCAAAAGGACCCGGTGGGTGGGTGGGTGGGTGAGTACTATTTAGCCTGTTAAAGTGGCGCCCTCATACGGTGATGGCTGGGACTTCGACCTCTGGCCACTCCATCAATTTTAAGGCTGTGCACTCGCGTTCAACTCAGATATTACTCTTAATCTGCGACCATATTAAATACTCTCAGCGCAGCTTCCACACTCGTCACTCCGGCAGGCCCGCCACCGCCTGAGAGCCTCCTGCCGGCCCAGGCCCAGGCCCAGGCCCAGCGGTGAATGAAGGCGCCGCACGGCCAGTGGCTTCCAAGCCCTTTATTTGTCTCCCGCACTCAGGCCTGCATTACGGGCCGAGACTTCTCTGCCTGCAGCTTCACTCCGGAGCCCGCAAAGCCGGTGCCGCCCTGGGGGAAGGGTGAAGGGAGGGGAAGGCAGAGGTGAAGGCAGGTTGTGGGCGGCAGGCGGGGGGCTCCTAAACCGGCTGGGAAGGGCGGGAGCGGGCGGGTCTCCTGGAGACAGGCGGAGTCTCAGGGTAGGAGTGGGTGTGCTGGAGGTGATGGGGCGGGGCCTTGGAGGGGGGACAGGGAGGAAGGGACCGAAGGAGGGGCCCTGCTCACCCGCTGCAGCACGATTATGTCGCGGTCTGTGAGCTTCTCCCCGTTCACAGGGTCCACCATGTCCTTCCGAATCAGTTTCTCCACGCACTCAAGGGTGACCACGGCCCCACTGCGGTGAGGGGAAGAGTGGGGACACCGATCAGAGGCCCTGCCCCACAGAGCCCCACCCCCCAGCCGGCCCCACTTCAGGTCCCCACATGTCACCCCCCCACAGGTGACTCACGAGGGCCGCAGCACAGCGCACGGCGTGGCGTTGCTCAGACTGTCCCGGGTCACGGCGCACACGTAGCGCTCACTGCGTGTGATGAGCCCCACGCGGTCCACAGAGCCGTCGAGAAGAGTGAACCGCACTGGCGTCAGGTCGGACATGCGCAGAGGTTTCCCGGACATGGGGCAGGTCACAGTGCGCGACTATGAGAGCAGGAGAGAGGCAGGGTTGGACCAGATGCAGGGAGGATGGTGGGGTCCCTGTGGGGGAAGGGAGGGCACCCCTGGGACAGCGGCAAAGTGGGTGCAAGTGCGCTTGTTGGCAGGGGGTGCTCACCGGCTTCTCCAGCTTGGTGGCTTTGGCCTCCGGGGTCAGTGATGGGATCCAGAAGCTGGGCAGCATTTTGTCCTTGTCCTTGTCCTTGCCTGTGGGGCCGGTGCTGGGGCCGGGTTGGGCATCATCTGCAGGGGTAGAGGGGTTCCAATGCCGCATCTGGGTTAGTACCTGGCTCTGGGGGACCCCCATCCACCCACAAGCCTGCTCCCCCTCACCGGCGCCATTGCTGGAGGCAGTCTTGGGTGTGAAGGGGTTGAGGGGCCGGCTCACGATGGCCGCCTCCTTCTCCAGGAAGCCCCGCACCTGGTCCTGGGCAGCTGCCCGCTGCAGCTCTTTCTGTTCCTCCCGCCGAGCGCCCCGCTGCTTCTCGTAGGCCTGCGGGCAGCCAGGGAGAGGTGAGCAAGGCAAGGGCCCAGTGGCGCTCTGCCTGTGAGCTCAGCATCAAAACCGCCAAGGCGCCCTGTGCTCCCTCATCCTCATCACCTTCATCTGCCGGGCGATCTCCTTCTTCTGGTGCAAGATGTACTCCAGGATGGCCTCCCGCTCGTACAGGTAGCCATCTGGGCTGCAAAGAGAGGCCGGGTGAGAAAGCACGGGCCTGGCCCAGGCCACACAGCCGGGGCTCAGAAGCACCAGGCAAGCACCGGGCTCCCTGCCCTGGGCCCAGTGACCATCCCGCAGGCGGCAGCTCACCCAGCGCTCAGCGTAGCTCCCCGGGGTGACCAGTGTACCTCTCCTGGCTGTTGTAGCTGTGCCATGCAGTGTATGGAAAATCTTGTGGCGAAAGGTTACTCAGCAGGCCTGGGTTGTCCAAACCCTGCCCATTCCAAAGCACTGGCCCTTGATGGGCTCCTGGGAGGGCACCTCTAAGCCTTTGGGGTGTCCTGCCTGAAAGGGTGTGTCTGTTTGCTTGGGCCACATGATATCAACTTAATCTCTGGAGGGGCTGGAGACCAAGGTCAGCCATATGGAGTCATGTCTATGTGACCAACCTTCAATAAAAACCCTGGACACCGCCCTGGCCAGTTTTGCTCAGTGGTTAGAGCGCCGGCCCTTGGACGAAAGGGTAGTGGGTTCGATTCCCAGTCAAGGGCACGTACCTGGCCTGCAGGTTCCATCTCTGGCCTCAGTTGGGATGCATGCGAGAGGCAACCAATCCATGTGTCTCTCACATCGGTGTTTCTCTCTCCCTCTCCCTCCCTCTCTTCCACTCTCTACAAAATTCAATGAAAAAAAATATCCTCATGTGAGGATTAACC